CAACTTACTGAATTTTTAACAATGAATAATTCTTTTGATATGTTCCAGTCTGGGTTTAGACCCCACCACAGCACTGAGACCGCTCTAGTGAAGGTAACAAACGACATTCGACTTCACACTGATGCAGGTAAAGTCACAGTTTTGGTCATGTTAGATCTTAGTGCCGCGTTCGACACTGTCGACCATGAGATCCTCATGCAGAGACTGGAGGACTGGGTTGGTGTCACTGGCACAGCCCTAGACTGGTTTAGGTCTTACCTGGAGGATAGGAAGTACTCTGTGGAGATTGGAGACTGCGTCTCAGATGATGTGGCCCTGACCTGTGGTGTACCACAGGGGTCGATCCTGGGACCTCTCCTATTTAATCTCTACATGCTGCCGTTAGGTCAGTTAATACAAAGAAACAAAGTGTCCTACCACAATTACGCTGACGACACTCAGATCTATGTCTCACTGACTGCAGGAGAACATGGACCACTGGATTTGCTCCTTCACTGTATCCAACAGATCAGTGACTGGATGCAAAATAATTTCCTCCAGCTAAATGCAGACAAAACCGAAATCATTGTCTTTGGTCCCCAGAAACAAAGAGAGGGCGTCATTTGTCAACTTCAGTCTCTCTCCCTACTTCCTTCAGACAAGGTCAGAAATTTGGGGGTAATACTGGACTCAGACCTAAATTTCAATAGCCACATAAAATCAATAACATCAACAGCTTTTTACCATCTGAAGAACATTGCCAAAGTTAGAAATATAGTGTCCAGGGCAGACTTGGAGATTCTTGTCCATGCATTTGTCTCCAGCAGGCTAGACTACTGCAATGGCCTGCTTACAGGTCTGTCCAAACAGACCTGTAAGCAGCTGCAGTACATCCAAAATGCAGCAGCTAGAGTCCTGACAGGAACCAGGAAGTATGACCATATTAGTCCGGTCCTCAGGTCTCTGCACTGGCTTCCTGTGGCTCAAAGAATAGATTTTAAAACGGCTCTGCTTGTGTACAAGTCTCTCCATGGCCTTGCACCAGAATACATTAGTGACATGTTGGTGTCATATGAACCGGCCCGGACTCTGAGGAGCACAGGGACTGGCCTCCTGCTGGTGCCCAGAGTGAGAACCAAACATGGGGAGGCTGCGTTTCAGATCCATGCAGCTAAGATCTGGAACAATCTCCCTGAAAATGTGAGGGAGGCGTCTACTCTGTCAATGTTCAAATCCAGGTTAAAGACTGTTCTGTTTGCCTGTGCATATAACTGAAGGATTTTATCTCCATTTTTAATGCACTGCTGTCATTTATTTATTTTTTTAAATTTCTTGTGTAATTTTGAAAGTTTTAATGGTTTTATTCTTTTGTGTGATTTTAATGTTTTAATTGTGTTTTAATCTTTTGTGTGATTTTAATGTTTTAATTGTGATTCTGGTGTTTGTTTTATGTGATGATTTGTGATGTGGACTGTGAAGCGCTTTGTGTTGCCCTGTGTATGAAAGGCGCTCTACAAATAAACTTTGATTGATTGATTGATTGAATGTGCTGCAACAATATGCGTGGGTCCTATTTTGGGCTGACAAGCGCCTGGCCGGGTGGCGTATCAGCGCGCGTTATGCATGTTATGTATGTTATGCAGGCTTCTACAACATATCTGTAATCAGCTCCGCAATCTACGCACGTCGCTGCGTGAGGCTTTCCGCTTCAAAAGACGCATGCTGTGTCAGGGATTGTGGTGTATTGGTACTTGGTAAAATCCACTCTTACCTTGTTCAATGCTCTTGTATCATATTAAGCTGTTCAGTAAAAAATGGCACGGTTATATAATAGATTACTTAATAACTGAATACGTCCATCTGTAATCACAACTATCCCAAGTCCTCTCCCACAGTCTAAACATTGAGGCTATAGTTCTTTTCCACTGCACGTGATAGTCATACGTTCTAAATAGTGCAATACATTGTGAAAAGCAAGAGCAAAATCTTATAGTAGACAATCCAAATACTTTCTTTTAGAGGGGATTGGATTAATATAAGGTTTTTGCTTTGTCCGATCCCTGTTTTCAAACCAAATCAAGGGACATTTAGAACAGGTCAATATGCAATTGTTTGACATTATTAATAGGTTCCATTGTAATTGTATACATTATTATAAAAAATGAAGTGCCAGTATACATTTTTGTTTTTCCATTGTGACACGCTTTACATGCAACAGCATGTATCCTACACTGCTTTCTATTTAATTGGCACAGGTTGATCAGCACTTTGGGAATATTCTTCTGCTAAAACCAGATGGCTCTCCAACTGATGGCTGCCAAAACTCTTCACACTACATAGTCATAGCCATCTGGTTTCTTGGGCATTTGAGAGGTCAAGGATCATGCCAAAGCTGTTTGTGGTCAAAAAGTATGAGGGTTGCACTGCATAGCTACACATAAATAACAATACAATCCCAATACATCGGAAAGAGCCTGTCAAAGATTGAACTTTAGTGATTGTAGTCAGGCCACCCTCACCAGTAATAATTCATTTAAATTCAATTTATTTTTGTATAGCCCAACAGTAGTAATATCAGAGGGCTTTACAAAGTTTTTGAGTCGCCAACACTGATCAAAGAATCAAACAGTTCAAACAGAGGAAATGCAATAATAACAAAAACTATTGGTCCATGAGGGGCAGATGGCCAAATAATAATAAACTGGGCAGTGGACTACGCAAAAGGTAGGAAAATTACCATTAAGACGTAATCAGCTCAGCAAACTCTGAGTTCAGATACTCAAACCTGCTTTCATGTTTGACACAATGAAAAAAATGAAAATCACATTAACAGTTACAGGGTTACATAGAATTCTGAGCATCAGAATATCAGATTTGTAAAGGCCGACCCAGTAAAAACAAACCAATTTCAGATATGAGATTGATATGACAGGGGTTAGATCGACTAGCCAGGTATAGTCACGGTTGTTGGAGTGGAGACTAAAATATCCGACAGTTACGGTAGTGCCCCAGGCCTCGGCAGAAGAGCTTGCCTCAGTCTGCTGGAGGATCAGGCTCAGCCAATCAGAACCATTCCACATCATTGGCCAGAGCCATCTCTTATCTGGGCAAGTTGAGAGGCTTTCCCTACTAATACCACCCAACGCACAAGACCCACTAGCTTGTGCTCAACCTTTTTTTCACTTTTTCTATCTAGTCCCCACACAAACAGACTTTTCCCCTTTATACCTCCATCTTCCCTAAAAAGTTTTAATTTTCTAATATAACATTATTGTACTATACATTTCTTTCATTAATTATTTTAAGTACTTACGTGTATGATAAGGATTAGTCGGACGACCTTTTCACTGAAATCCTCTGATCAGTGTACCAAACGGCAACTCGAACAAGTGCATGTGTTTGCTTGTTTTAATAGACATACAGGGAACTGTATTTTATATTTTGAGTCATGACAGTTGTTACATGAGCCAATCTTGCTTAGGGGTATAAGTATCAATGCAGGTTGTGAACTGCAGGTGAAAACTGCGTGTATCCACATGAAGCTGGCACAGATTAAATTGAAATGACAGCATTGTACACTATCAGAAAACAGAGATACTTTTAGACAAAACAGACCTAAAATGAAGACACATAAAAGTCAAGTAATGGCTGAGAAATGTGTCCACAAAATGTAACACTTTGGACAATTTACACCAATTTACAAATATGAGAGTCAGCTGCTCCTTTTAGCGGTAATAAATTGAGTAGAATTTTACAATTTGTATAATTCTCACGATAAATGATTCCAGGGATTCCATTTTGAGGTAATGTCACGGGGCAACTTGACAGCGTGCGTGTGCGTGCGTGTGTGTGAGTGGTTGCGTGTTTGTGAATGACTGTGACCCGGCCCACTGGAGTTGGGATATCAGGGACAGGTGTGCGTGAATGTGCGTGCGTGTGTGTGAGTGGTTGCGTGTTTGTGAATGACTGTGACCCGGCCCACTGGAATTGGGATATCAGGGACAGGTGTGCGTGATTGAGAGGCAAGCAGGTGTGGAGAGCGGAGCAGCAGAGCAGGGTGCGGAGAACTGGACAAGCGGGAGGCAGCACTTGGGCACGACGGAGCAGCGCTGTGAGACGGACATCGAGTGCCCAGTGGCAGGACTCACCGTGGGAATCGCGGAGGGGGAGAGTGTAACGAACCCCCTCCTCCCAGCTAAGTACCCGTTTTGTTTCGCTGTGCAGGCAGGGCTACGTGTGGTTTTTTTTGTGCTGTGGGTGTCTGTGTGCCAAAGCCTGTCTGCGCAGTACTGGGGTATATTATTCCTGTCACTGACCTGGGAGATTGACGGCCGGTCTGCCCTCTGTCCCATGCAGATGCTGCGCCCAGCATAGGGAGAAGCTGAGAGGACGCGCTGTGGAGAAGCGGAGGGGGAGAGTTCGCCATCCCCCTCCTCTCAGCTAAGTGTTGCACATTTTCACTGAGAGCGTCTTGTGGAGAGCCAAGCAACGCTCAGGCTCCTGTAACCCGGTGTATTGACTGCCGCCCTGTTTGACCCTCCATAGGCCTCCGGGACGTGCCCTGGGACCGGACCACCACCCCAAGCGCCAACTTGGATCTATATTGGACTATTCAGTTTTTAGAGGGATTCATCTTTGGATTTTTAGTGTAGCCTTTTAGTGACATTTTAAACATTATATATTGTAATAAATTGTTCATTTTTCAACCCCGGTGTATTGTTTTGATAGAGCCACTCCCCTTGGACCATTGGTTTTAAAGATCTAGTTGGGGCATTGCGCCCCCTGGTGACAGAATTTGGCGTTGTCTGGCAGGACCCGGTACCACTGTTTTTAAGTTGCGGTTAGAGGCTAGGGCTCCGTGGAGCAAGGATGGGTGTGCTGTCGCTGAGGCCGTCAAGGGATCCGAGCTGAACTGCGCGTTGGCAGCCGGGTGGGCCACCCCAGATCCAGCACACAGAGGAGCACCACATCCGCGACCTGGGGAGAGAGCACCACGACGCATGATACAAGCAGGGGCAGACATGGAAGTCTGCCTGGCCTGTATGGGCATGTGGTGTAGTGGTGCTCGTGGAAGGCCTATGGCCCTAGGGTCGCGGATGCGTGGGTTTGGGCTGGCCTCTGGTGTGTTTGGTGCAGGTGGGCCCGGCAGCAGCGGCAGTGGCGGCAGGAGTCTGAGACGCGACGGAGGCCCCGGGAGAGACGCGACGGAGGCCCCGGGAGAGACGCGACGGAGGCCCCGGGAGAGACGCGACGGAGGCCCCGGGAGAGACGCGACGGAGGCCCCGGGAGAGGCGCGACGGAGGCGAACCCCTCTCCCCAGCGATGGAAAGGCACAGGTGTTCACGAACTAGCAGGGACTGCTATTATTAAAGCAGGGGGGAGTGTCAAGGGGTGCAGAATGGGTGGTGGGTTTTAATGTGGTTTGTTTTATATTTTATGCATGTCGTGTGTGTGTTTTTAATATTGATTTTAATTTGCACCACCTGAAGCACCCCGGCTCCCCACGTGACAATTAGAACACCTGTGCCAAGGTACAAAAGGAGATGGGGAGGGGGCAGGAGCAGAACACGGAGAGGGAGCCAGACACGGGAGCCAGGCGCGGCGGGTGAGAGCCCCGTGGTCTAGCGGCCCAGGCCGTGGAGACGCATTTTAGCCTGTTTTAGCCTCTGTTTTAGCCCTTTTTTTAGCTTAGATTTTTATTGCTTTTATTTACTTGTTTTTAATGTATAATAAACTACTTTTAATTCGCTTTTAATCCAGTGGTCCTTTTTAAATCCGGGTCCGAAGAACCTGTTTTTACCCCTGTGACAGTAATTTTGAAAATCATCACATGACCATAGTGATGCGATGGCCTGGCCAAAATCACACTAAATATCAATATATGAACTAAATATATAAATATATATAGTTTGAGATCCTCCAAGCGCACATGGGTATTCCGGATGAACTGGCTTGCACCAGGCTTGTGTAACCCAGTGATTTATGTGCCATTATTTTACTATTTTGTTTTCTGTATTATGTCATATTTGTATGTTGAACTAGTCACTATGAGCCAAGTCTACAACATTTAGAACATCCATCTAAAAATCATGAATTGTGTTTTCTGAACATTGAATGGATTAACAATTTAATAATAGTTCTTTCAACTGCCTCAAAATTGGACAGGTCATGAGTAAAGACCCCTGGACGATTCTCAGAGTGCAGATGAGCATTATGAAAGGTTAAAAGAAGCTGGCTACAGAGAACAGGATTTTCAGCCAGATTTTCATTTCCAAAAGTTCAGGGGGGGCTGGTGAGTTAAATAACAATTCTTGTATACTATGTTTGGTGTAACAGTAGTTATGTGTGTTAATGTCAGCACATCCGCCTTGCCCCATTGCCATAGTGACACATCTGATACTGTGCTAGATGACAATAACATAAAGCTGCTGTTGTGTATATACTAGTTTGTAATAATATTTACTACATTAAATGTGCCGGAGCATAAACTAAAAGCAAATATGAGAATTGTGCAAATTTCCCAACATTTATTGTCAAAACTGCATTCTCCATACCACACATGGAGCTATTATTTACCTTTCTTCTAGTGCCAAGTAGGTTTTGTGGACGTATGGTCGTTTATAGTTTTGCAGTGAAAAATCACCCCAGGCACCAAGGTGTTCATTATTCTGATCCACACCCCCACAGGCCAAGCCATCGCAATCAATCAGTCAATCAAATACTCTTTTCCCAGTCTTTTAAATGAACCATTTGTCACCAGTCATCCAAGGTTTCACAAGGCAGTGCACAGCAGGATTGCCAGAACAAAACAAAAAATGTTATGTTCATAATGGAATGGTCTAAGAATAAGGTGTTTAAATGCCTCCAAGAAAGTGCACAAAGTGTTTCAGGTCCATGAGGAGCTGAGTGCAGCCACAGGGAGGCTTAGATTACAAACTAAAGCACTCCTCTCCATCCCTTAAATAATAACAGCAGAATGCCTTTGACATTTCACTCTAAAAGTCACACAGACGGACAGCAGGTTGGAATAGGTAAACACAACACCTGTATTATACAGGTGGTATTATACACATGCTGTATAATAAGGGAGCCCTCGCGGGCCACACACCCTCATACAGCTCCCTTGCTAGAAAAAAGAGTTTTGACCTGCTTTAACTCTTCTGTTTCATTGTTTTGTGTGCATTTCAACCTTAAACTAAATAAATTGTTACAAACCCTAGATAAAGATTAACTCAAGTTGGATGTGACAAAGGACGAACGCTCATCTGTTGAGTTGATTGACATGCAGATTAGCCTATCACAAGTGTTAGAAGTGTAATGTCAAGTGTTAGACAGTTCACTTTGGCCAATCAGAAGTCAGTTTATTCAATATGCATGTGAATAACTAAAGTATCAATTTCCTTTTTGCCATTGATATATGCCATGTGACTTTCCTCCAATGGCTGTGTGGAAGACGATTTAGGACCCGCCCGCAAAGAGGAGCTGGGCGCAGCAGCAAAGTGCAAAGCAGAGCCCTCCCGGCCATGTGAAAATGCTGCACAACAATTATACAACTGGTTTCAACATTGTAGTCAGAAGTATTTTACCTGGACATCTGAAAAGCTGCGGCTGTGCACAATCCAGGCCAGATTTAGTCAATTCCTAATAAATAGATGTGGAATGTATCCAGGTGCCTAATCTAATTTGCTGCACTGACATGGATGTGAAATGAAATTGAAAGCTGAACAAAATGTGGCGTCTACTGCTAGTGTTGGTGTTTTCTCCAATGAAATGAGAAGGTGCCATTCTCAAAAGTTTTTCAAATACCTTGTAGGGCTGCCAGGCCCCATTATATGTCTACAAATCTATTGGCTGGCTGCTATCAAACCCAGATATTGAAAAAAACATCAGCGAGAAGATCATGGGTTCGAATCTACCTTCAGACAGGGCTTTTCTGTGTGAATTGTACATGTTCTTCCCATGTCCGTGAGGGTTTCCTCTGGGTGCTCCGGTTTCCCCTACATCTAATAGATCTCCTCTCTCTGGGGCCAGCACTCTCTTGAAAAAGAGATTCTAAAATCTCAATGGGACCTTCCGGGTAAAATACTGGTGAATAAAACATTTGTTTTCATACATCCATCCATCCATCCATTTTCTTCCCCTTAATCCATTTCTGGGTCGGGGGGGTGGCAGTCAGAGCTGCACCCAGTACACAGAGCACCAGCCCCTCACTGATCCTCCTGCAGGTGGTGAGTCCACAGGAGCTGAGATCTTTCAGTGGGAGCTTCAGGCAAAGTGGGGTTAAGTGTCTTGCCCAACATACGTTTTCATATATTCATACATTAAATGTCCATACAACAGTTACATTACAGAAAGTAACATTTGAATGAAACAAGCAGTTCATGGTGAACAAGAACTATGAAGCAGAGCATTACGTAGTATTCTGGCAACTGCTATATACAGCACTACACCTGCATCCACTGACTCAAACACAAATCAGTCGGACAGAGTTTAGCAAAACTAGAGCATAGTATACAAGACGTTGTCATGTATACTGTACGGCAGCAGAAAGAGCTGACTCACAATGTTACACACAAACATTAGTTAGCTTTCTTTTAACTGTAATGTATGTCAACGCTTTTCCTGGACACGGTGGTGCAGCGGTTAGAGCTTGTGCTTCACATCAAGGTCTTTCTGTGTGGAGTTTGTATGTTCTCCCGGTGTCTGTGTAGGATTTCTCGGGACGACAGATGTTAAAACTTGAAAGCTGGTGGGCTCCAACCCAAATCCAGCACCTTGAGACTGTGTGCAAGCCATAAATAAGTAGGCTGAGGACAAGTGAGTGTGAGAGCCACTGTCCAGGACGAAACACTCAAATTCAGTGAAATCCCAGATCTAAATGGGAAACTCCTCCAAAGGTGGTAGAGAATGAGTGTGTGAAGATCCTGTGGGACTGGCAAAGGCAATTCCAAGCGATGGTAACATCATGAAAAAAGACCAAAATAAGAGAGGAGCTGGAGAGGGCCTGGATGGTAAAGGTGACAGTAGTGCCCGTGGTGATCAGTGCACTCGGGGCAGTGACGCTGAAGCTGAAGTAGTGGTTCTACGTCATGGTGCTACCTCCCTTAGGACTTCGCTAGTGGGATATGACTCGTGACCCCCAGGTCACACGCCAGAGAGATCAAAATAATTTGCTCCAATCACTAGCGACCCTCCTCTATAAAGGCCCCTGCACAAGGCCGCACCCCCTCTTTCACTCTGGCGCCGATTGAGATCTACCACAGTACTTACTTCATTCTGAGATGTCTTCCATTGTTCGTCCGAGTTCCCTTCGCCCTCCGGCGTCGGACGTCGTCGCTGGATCCAGACGGTGCAGGACTTCACCTCTGTGGGCGCCACCACTCGAGGGAGGAGGAGGATACAACCCACGTTGTGCCCGCGGATGGACCCGATCGTCCATTACGCGACACGTGAGTGGCCAACGCCCCTTGCAGCCAAGAGGCCTGCTCTGGGGTACGGCATGTACTGCAGCATGCAGGACTGGTCCTGGACCGGTGGTGTCCCGGACATCGAGGATTCAGTCCGCATGGCCCTGCAGCCCTCCAAGCGGGACAGGATGTCTTTGGCGATGCTGGATAGATGTTATGCCAATGCGGCACAGGTCGTCACATTGGCTAACAACATGGCATTCATCACGGGGGCCCTGGATAGGTCGCTCTCCTCTGGCCAGGCGCTCAGTGGAGACCTCCTATCGCAGGCGAGGACCACCTCGGCGGCGATCCTGCGCATGTGCCAGGCGCTAGCCGTGGATGGCGGCCGCTCCATGGCAGCAGCCCAAGTCGGGGCCAGGCACCTTTGGCTTGGGCTGGCTAATATCAGGGAGGCGGAGAAGAGGCAGCTGCTGGACCTGCCCGTCTCCCAGACGTCCCTCTTCGGCCCGGACATGCAGGCCCTGGTGGCGAGACTGGAGTCTGCAGCCAACGACTCGGCTAGGCTAGCCCCGCACCTAGCACCGAGGCGCGAGGCCCGCCCACCATCACGGAGCCGGGACGGAGGCAGAGAGCGTTCGCCCGGGAGGCGTCCTGACCCGTATCCGCGCTCTGTGGTCCATCGTCCCCCCTCGACGAGGCCCCCGGGTCCAGACAGACCCACGGGTGGCTCGCGGGAGCAACGCACCCACCGCCGGCCTCCCTATGGCAGAGGAGGTCGGGGTGGCAAGAATTCTTTCAATAAAGGCCGACCGGCATTTCGTCAGTACTCGTTGTCTGAGTCTCATTTGGGGGTACGTAACATGTCTAATGTGCAATCTGATTGTGTTACTTCCCGGGCACATAACGTTGCTTCGCTAGGCCTGCAGCCCCCAGAGCAGGGT